TGTCCTTGTGTCTTGCTTAAGTGTTTTCTCATTTTTATTTTTGTTGTCAGACTGTCTTTGGTTTAATCTCTAGGTTGTCACCCACATCTTCCTGATATATTTTCACCCTAGCTTCAGTGTCTCTAACGACCCACAGATATTCTCATCTTCATAACATCAGAGAAAACAGCTCATCAAATCATCCACAATGCTTTATCCCAACTGATACAATCAGCAACACATTAAGATCAAGCACAACTTGGACATTGACCACCTGTGGTAGTCACTAGTCTATCACCCTTAAACCATTTGAATTAAATTGAAATCAAGAAGCAGTCCAGAACATGTCTGCAGTGAACAAAATTTCAATATAGTGTATTTACCATTTAATGGCCCAGACAGAGCGAGGATGCAAGACCCCTGGTCTCAGCTGATGGCTGAACCCCATGACGCTGACTGACCTCAGGCTGCAAGGCCCAGATTGAGTTCCCCAACCTTCTGAATGGTTGAACTCCACAACGTTCTATTACAGGTTTCCCACTCCCTTTCTTTAAAGATGTTCAAAGTTGGGAACTCAGAAAAATACCCTTGATGACCACCTCTGCCTCTGCAGTGTGGGTCCAAAGACTGACACAGGAGGTCTGAGAGTGCGGGGTAGGGGACTTATGGGGGTTCAGGGGTGCCTGTGCAGCTACCTTCCAGCGCTTGAGCGATGGAGGCTGGGTCGGGAGCAGGCGTGGCTCTCCTTCCTGCCTTGGATCTGGGCCCCAACTACCTTCCGGGACTTGAGAGATCGCGGTTGGGTTGGGAGCAGGCGTGGCTTTCCTTCCCATGGTGGCTCCAGGCCCAGCCTACCTCCCGGCGCTTGAGCGATGGTGGCTGGTTTGGGAGCTGGCGTGGCTCTCCTTCTCGCGGTGGATCCCTTACAGACCTTATTTTAAAGTAATATTCCATAGAATATATGGAATCACACTTTAAGGACATATTAATAAAAATAGGCTATATCTATTTTTCAGTGGTTACAAATAATGCTGTAGTGATCTTTCTTGTGAAAACCATCGCTCATATATGTATGAAAAAGGAAAGAAAATGTATGTGTTTACTTAATACATGCAACTATGGGATAAAGTCCTAGAAATGAAGCTGTCAGGTCAAAGGTTCTATGATTTTTAACATTACGAATAAGTACTGTTACACTGCTTCAAAAACCATTTACTAGGTTTGTGCTAACGCCAGTAGTATCAGTCTTAAATGTTTAATATTTTCAGTCATTAATTTTTGCCAATCCGATTATGTCATTTAATTTTCATTTCTGTCACCACTAGTAAGGTTGGGCTTCTATTCATATTTTTGGTCATTATTTGTTTGTCTTATGAATTACCCATTCCTGTCCTTTCAGTATTTTTTTCTTGGGAGGTTTATCTTTGGAAAGTTGAATTGAAGTCAATCTCTGTGATACAGGTATTACATTTCGGCCACCATATGCAAATGGTTTCTCAGTTTGTCTTTTTGTTGTTGCGGACAGTGTTGCTGAGTATTGCAGGCCCAATTTGTCTTTTAACTTAGCTTGTGGTGACTTTTGCTATATAATAGCTACTTATTTTTAGTTACAACTCTTTCCCTTTATGGCCACTTATGTGTCCCAATCCCAACAGTATATAAAAAAAATCTCTTATTTTTCTTCAGTTACATTTATCATTTAGTGATTAAGTTTTTAAGTCCAGCTCTAATTTTTTTCATAAAGTATGAGGCAAACAATAGTTAGTAATGCCATTGTCTTTTCTGCACTCATCTGAAATGCTACCATTACCTTCTCAATTCCCAAATACTTATTGGTCTGTTTTCAGATTTAACCTTTCTCATCCACTTGGTCTGTTTTCAAGCTTATTGTTCTCAAGCCAGTATGTTAACTGCTGTTGCTGTATAGTACACTTGATATTTTTATTTTTTATTTTGGGTTTTTTTTTTTATTTATTTTTTGTTTGTTTGTTTGTTTTTTGTTGCTGTCATTGTTTTGGTACCAGGGATCAAACTCAGGACCTTGTGAGGCAGGCAGTGCAGAACCACTGAGCTAAATCCCCATCCCTTACTTGATATTTTTAAACAGATACTATTTGGTATTCTTGTCCATTTTACTTTTCCAGAAAACTATAGAATCATCTTAAAGTTTCATTTTATATTAAATTAGATTAGCAAGATCTTGTTTTCTAATGTTGATCCTGTTTATCTAGAAGCATGGTCTGTGCTCTCCCTTTGGAGAGGAATTCTATTATTTTTTTACTTCTAATACAGTTTTGTTGAGTTTGTTGTAGTTTTTGTGACTATTTAAAGTCTCAGGGCTGGGGATTTAGCTCAGTGGTTCCGCCACCTGCTTTTCAAGTGCAAGCAAAGTGTCCTGAGTTTGATCTCAGGTAGTAAGGAAGGAAGGAAGGGAAGGAAGGAAAGGAAGGAAGGAAGGTCGTTCGGTCGGTCTTGTTTTGATAGGTGTAAATAATATATCATTTAATTAGCGCTTTGATTCTAGGGAAATTAAATTTCTTTATGGTACTGGGGAATGAACCCAGGGCCTCTGAAATGCTAGGCAGGCGCTTTGCTACTGAGCTATATCCCCAAGCTCTTTTAATTTTTTAAATTTTGAGACAAGGTCTTACTAAGTTGCCCTGACTGATCTCAACCTTTTCAGTCTCCTGCCTCAACCTCTCAAAGTAGGTTGGACTGGTGTGTGCCACCATACCTGGCAGAAATTTAATATTTTTAAATTGTGACTATTAACTATATATATTTTGTGAATTTTCTCATCACTTCCTAAATCCGTTTTTCCACTTGGAACTTAATTGTATATGAATTTATATAAGAATAATAATCTTGGGCCGGGGATTTAGCTCAGTGGTTCTACCGCCTGCCTCGCAAGCACAAAGACCTGAGTTCGATCCCCAGTACCAAAAAAAAAAAAAAAAAGAATAATAATTTTTTGTCACAATATAGGAAATACTGCTAATTTACTCTTTGCCCTTTGATTCACCATTATTCTTTTTACTTCCCAGAAATTTGAAAATCGCATTTAAATCTTACTTTTACTATTGATGTTGAAGTCTCCAAAATTTTTTTGCTGACTGATTCTATATTTAGGAAAAATGTGTCATGTGGAAAACTAGTCTTGTGTGCTGTTAATAGAATAAGTTCTTAAGTAATTTCCTTTAGATGTTTAATAATGTAGTGTTACGGTACTCGTGATTTTTTTTATTAGAATAATGAAATGTTACATGTATAGTGGTACCTCAGTTCAAAATTCAATTTGTTCTACAATTTTGGAAAGGTGGCCATGTTTGTGTTTGTGTGGGAAAGATAGCCACGATCGTGTTTGTTACCCGATGCAGAGTTTGCAAACAAAATTTTGCTAAATGCTTCTGTTTGTGAACCAAATTGTTTGCAAGCGAAAGTGTTTTTGAACAGAGGTACCACTATGTATGCTCACAACTGAAATGTTTAGTGTGTGTGTACATACATACATACACACACATATACACATATACAGACATACCTCAAAAATTGAAACATTTGTGATTTCTCATTTTGAGACTTTTTACTTTTTGGCAAGTGTAAGTAATTCTGACAGCTTTAATGACATTCTGTGTCTTAAACAATGTCACTTTGACTATTAAAGGTGAATAGTATGCTTTTATATGAAACTTGCTATTGTGTTATGGTCAGGAAATTATGTTTAGTTTTCTGTCTGCATAGGAAGAGTTATTCATATAAATTTGTCTTGTTCCCTATAAATATTGTCCAATAATTTACACCATTTTCCCTTAATTCCCTCCAATACTATCATAATTATGTGAAGTTACATTCATATAACTTAAATGTTTTGCAAGCATTCTAATACTTGCCATTTTCCGAGTTTTTCCATGTATTCAAGTGTACTAATTGAATTGCCTTTTTCTTACCATAACGTATGTGTTTTTATTTCTAAAAGAAAATATTTCAAGTAATACTAGTACTCTGGGACACTAAGGCAGGAGGCTCTCCAGTTTGAGTCCATTGTGGGCAGCTTAGTGACTTCATGAGACTCTGTCTCAACATAAATTTTTTAAAAGGTCTGGCTGGGACTGTAGCTCAGAATGAAGACCATGGGTTCAATACCCAGTACTTCCAATAAATAGGCAGACATTAGCATTTGAGAGGAGTTGATGTGCTATTTTGTTGAGAAATTGGTCTCTAGAATTACAATCAATAACATGACAGAGGAAGAACCGAGGAAGGTACTAAATGGCCATTCCTGAAACTGTTATGATTTCACCCTGAGATAAGTAAGAATTCAGTTTTTACACCTTTTTGAAAAATTAAATACATTGTCTATGTACGTAGACACTTAATAAGTATTTATAGTTAGTAATTGAATGAAGTAGGTTCCATTAGTGCTAGAAATTATTTTCAAATTGCTGGGAAATATAATTCTGAAATTTATACATAAAATTTTTTCCTATTACTTTTCTGCAGTGATGGAAACAGTCTATATCTGTGTGGCTCAGTACTAGTGCAGCTAGTCATGTGTGGCTGATAAGCTCTTGAAATATGGTCATTGTGACTGGGAAACTGGTTTTGCTTTTATTATAAATGACTTTAAAATATTTGAAAGAGTCAATGTGGTGGCACACACCTGTAATCTCAACACTCAGGAGTCTGAGACAGGAGAATCTCAAGTTTCAGGCCAGTCTGAGCTACTTAGGGAGACCCTGTCTCAGAAAAACAAAAGATAAAATAAAATTGTACAGTCAGGATCACAAGTTGCAAGTCAAAGGAAATAATACAGGTTACTATGATTGTCATACTACTATATTTTTTATATTTTATTTTTGTTACATTATCTAAAACATTAGGTTGCGGTTTTTATTATACCACAGACCATTTTGCCTCATTTCTAATGATTTAATTATAAGGAAAATGTATGTTCTTTGGACTGATAAACTAATGCTCCTTTTAAGATTGGTCCATATAAAGCTTTTGTTCATTTTTTTAAGCAGCTGATTTAGAAGAAAGTTTTAATGAACATGAACTGGAGCCCTCATCCCCCAAAAGTAAAAAGAAAAGTCGCAAAGGAAGACCCAGAAAAACTAATTTTAAGGGACTGTCTGAAGACACCAGGTCCACATCCTCCCATGGAACAGATGAAATGGAAAGTAGTTCCTATGTAAGTAGGAAACTATTGGATTCTTAGTTTTTGTTACATCATGAATATTTCATTTAAACTATGTTTATAGGTAGGGTTTATCATTTGAAATGTTAAATAAGCTTGAAATACTGATAGCGTTTTTAAAGTGCTTTCTTTTTTCTTTTCCATTTGCAGAGAGATAGGTCTCCGCACAGAAGCAGCCCCAGTGACATCAGGCCTAAATGTGGATTTTGTCATGTAGGGGAGGAAGAAAATGAAGCAAGAGGAAAACTGCATATATTTAATGCCAAGAAGGCAGCTGCACATTATAAGTGTATGGTAAGTATGGTTCTTCATGTGTGCTTTTAAGCCCACGTTTTTTTGAAAATCATTTAACTAGTAACCAAAGGGAAAATTTCCCCTAGCATTAGTGTTTCACGAATGAATAGTAATATCCTGTAAACTTCAGACTTTGAAAAAAATAGCCTTTATATTTTAGTAGAATTTGAAGTAATACTAATTATTTTTATTATATTCAGTGTGATCCATCAGGCTGGCTGTGATTATTAATTATTTCACAGCTGTAAGAATTTCCTCTCTAAATATGTCATGAAAGGTATTTCAGGCCTCTACTATAATAAATGCCATTATTATTGTGTTTAGCAAACTGTGTTGCAATTATCTATTGATGAACCTACCTTCTATAATAGGCCCCTAAATTCCTTGAAGATAAGAATAAGGTGAAGTTCTTTTTATTTATTTATTTATTTATTTATTTATTTTTGGTTTTTTGAGACAAGGTCTCACTGTGTAGTTGAGACTGACCTGGAACTCACTATGTAGCTCAGGCTGGTCTCGAACTCACGGCGTTCCTCCTGCCTCAGCCTCCAGAGTGCTGGGATTACAGGCATGTACCACCATGCCCAGCGTTGTCTTTATTTTTGCATCCTTAAATCAAGGCCTGTCTTAGAGTACGAAAATGTTTTAGGGTGGGTTACATTGTATTAAGTCATTCATCCCATTTATGGGTAAGTTTTTAAAAGTATTTATATCAGAAGTCTTCACTAAGGTACACATAAGATTTACCTGGGAAGTTTCTTCCAAAATATTTGTGTCTAGGACCCCCATGGAATAGATTCCAGACATGTCTGTTTTGAAAAGAAAAAACAAAGGAGGGGTGGGGATTTAGCTCAGCGTTCGGTGACCTGCCTCGCAAGTGCAAGGACCCGAGTTGAATCCCTGGTACCACCAAAAAAAAAAAAAAAGAAAATTAAAAACAAAGGAGACTCTTGTCTACATCTCTGGTTGAAATTTGCTATTTAAACTATTTTTTGAAACTTTATGAAAATGTAAAACAGTTGAGACAACAGGGTGATATTGCTGAAATCTTCATTATTTATAGCAGAGTATTTAATCTTGGCTGCACACTGGTAATCCTAGTTTTTTTCCCAGTTGTTATTTTTGGTTGTATTTTAATCAGATACAAATATATTAAAATATTTGACTTGGTACCTATTATTAAAAAGTATCTTTTGCTCTGGAAATTAAAGCAGTATAACATGTTTATTATAATCTTATTTACTCTTTTTCTCATAAGGACTCTGAATGGTAATATTTCTGCATTTTTCTTCTCCAGTTGTTTTCTTCTGGCACAGTCCAGCTCACGACAACATCAAGAGCAGAATTTGGAGATTTTGATATTAAAACTGTACTTCAGGAGATTAAGCGGGGGAAAAGAATGGTCTGTGATTTTTATATTTCTGTTATGCCACATTACTCTTGATTCTCTACTTACAGCATATCTCTAATACATCCAGTCGTCAGGAAAATAAATATAAAGTAGTACATATGTTAAAGAAAGGTATATATTTGACTTACATGTAATATAATAAAGGATACTCATGTTAATAAAATGCATTCCTTTTTCTATGCAACTTCATTTCTTAAGTAAATTATACAAAAAAGGTTTACATTTCAGGGTTTTTCAAGTATTTCAATAAAATAAGTGAAGATGCAAATGTGATAAACCTCATAAAGTTTAAAATGTTACATGTATAAACTTGCTTAAAGAAAAATTCCATAAGCCTAATGCAGCATTGAGAACCACCTGATATTTTTAATTCTTCTTTTTGTTTTAATAAAGAGAAATGTTTTTAGTCTTTTGTTTAAATTACATATAAACAGTTATGTCTCTTAAAATGTTAACTATAACTTTAAAGTTTCTTTAATAAATTGTGTTTTAGTCTCATGTTTTTAAACATTCTGAATTACTAATAAGAAGCTTCAAAAAATGCTGGTGTCTTCTATTAATTATTTATTCCTTTAAGGCTTCTGAGTATAAAATGTCAGTGGAATGGAAAGTCTTTTCTTTGAGACAGCAGTCATCTCTAGAAATGAATTACTTTTAATTTTCAATATTTTGTTCTGGAAAATTTTTATTGAGTTTATTGGTACATTTTAGGTATACAGTACAGTCACATTCATTATTGGGATCTTTTTCCTTTACATGACAGGTCTTGGTTCTCATTTTTCCCCTTGTCCCTGCCCTCCCTTCACCCGCTCTGTTCTGTAAATTTTAAAACATCAAGTGAAGAAAGACTAGTAATACATCTACCCATCACCCCGATCCAGCAGTTATCAAATGTTTGCCTCATTTATTTCATCTAGACCTTCAATTCTTAATGTTTGAAGTATTTTAAAGCAGAGTTCACACTTCATACATTTCACCTCTACATACTTCAGTATACATCTCTTAATTGGACATTTTCTTACCTAACAACAACATAATGCACCTCCCAAGTTAATAGATACCAGTTCATATTTGTATTTCCTCAACTGTCTCAACACTGTAAGGTTGATTTAGTTGAGTTGGATTCCAAAGGAAGGCTATGCATTTGGTTCTCATGTAGTACATCCCTTATTCAATACAGCGCAGGCCATTCACCCTCTCTTGGTTGCTTTTGTATTTTATACTACTGACTTGTTGAAGAAAATGAGTTAATTTTTCTGTAGAATATCCTAGTATTGTTTCCTTCCCCATAATACTATTTCACTTGTCTCTCTATCCCCATATTTCCATTTAAAGTGAGAATTACATGTAAAGGCTTGCTTAGATTCAGTTTCAACTGTATTGTAGCATAGCAGATAGGTCATAATGTCTGCTGTGTGGATGCAGGTGGGATCTGATCCCTTGATTGTGAGGTCCTGCTACAGTTTCATGTAGTGCTTTCAGACATTTATCATCTTTGACTCCACTAGAAACCACCCTTTCTTTGCAGCACTTCCTGTTTTAAAGTGTGAACATTCTTTTCCATTTTGATCTAGTTGAGTATATTGATACTTTATAAAATGAAACGTTAAAAAACAACCTATAGTACTGAAAAAGGGGGGTAGATCATTTGTTCTATAATGCAGAAATGTATGGTACAACTAACATTCAATTATGTGAGTAGGACAACAATTCAACTCTTTTTTGTTGTTTTTGTTTTTTGAATCAGGGTCTCACTATGTAGCTCAGGCTGGCCTTGAACTCTCAGTGATCCTCTGCCTTAGCCTCCCAGATGCTGGGATGATAGGTGTGTGCACCACCTTGCCCAGCCCAAGATTTCAACTAACTGTCTTGATCAATTTATTGTTCATCTCTGCACTTCTAACCTCGCATTTCTCCGACAGGTGCTCCAAAGGAAATTAGTCTATCAGGATACTCTCACACAGCTCCCAAAATAAAAGAGCATTTAGAATTTCGTAAACTTGAAAACTGTTTACTGTATACTTCTTCCTGGAGAAAAAGCTATCAGAAGTTATACAATAAAGCAATTTACCTAACCTCATATTTTTCAAACAGAATGAACTTTGAAGTCCTTTTTTTCACCAGGTACCTTTTCATCTTAGATCATTCTTTAGGTGAGGCTGATGTAGGCCAAACTGGGAAGCCTTGAAAGGTTTCACATCCTTTAGTCTCCCTCTGTCCTTTTGCCTACTTGGTAATGATCTTTCTCTGAGGGGGTTGCTTTTTTGTTTTCTCTTTCTTTCCCCCTGTCAAAATAAGAAAGGATCTCATTCATTCGGAGAAGAAAAGAAGTCAAACCACTGAAATATGCAGTATTATTCTTTTTGGTTTTGACATTATCAAGGAGTGTCTTCTCTCTATAGTACTTAGATTTCAGATCTCTCCTGGCTAAGATGTTTTTCTAACACCCTGGCAATTTATAAATGTTAAGTAATAGAAACATCAGGGGATGACTTCAGAAAGTTCATCAAAGTATGGTTTATGTTACAGCATTATTATTATTACTTGGCTTTTTGAGGCAGGGTCTCGCTTTGTAGTTCAGGCTGGCCTTGAACTTACTTTTTAGCCCAGGATGGCCTCAAACACACAGTGATCCTCCTGCCTCAGCCTCCCCAGTGCTGAGATTATAAGCATGTACCACCATGCCCAGTTTATTTTGTTTTGTTTTGAGACAGGGTTTCCTGGACTCAAGTGATCTTCCTGCCTCAACATTCTGAATAGGTGGGACTACCGATAATACACACCTGTGTCTGGCTATAGCCTTATTTTAATTATGTGCTGTGTAATTAGTTCTGTGTATTCCCTTTTAAAAATAGAAAGTGGCCACTGTTTGCTTTGTAAACTTAAATGCTTGGCTGAAATATGAATAGTATGAATAAAATAGATAATACAGCCTGGCTGGGCTTGTAATCCCAGCACTCAGGAGGCTGAGGCAGGAGGATCACCATATGTTCAGGAGATCCTGTCTCAAGCAACAACAACAATAAAAATATTGCCTAACTCTGAAATATGGCTTATGATGATTATTTTTCTTTCTTTAAACAGAAATGTACACTTTGCAGTCAGCCTGGTGCTACTATTGGATGTGAAATAAAAGCCTGTGTGAAGACCTACCATTACCACTGTGGAGTACAAGACAAAGCTAAATACATTGAAAATATGTCACGAGGAATTTACAAGTAAGAAAACAATTGTCTGTTTTCCTAGAACTGTCCATAAGTAACTCCCCTTAAATAGATGACACTAGTTTACTTGATCGCTATTCTTAGTGTTTAGTCATGTGTAGATCACTGAGGATGTTATATAAGGTGTGAGAATTATGATTGACATTTGCATCTTCCTGCGTAGCCCTGGATTAACATTTGTTCATCCAGTATTATGCTTACCCTAGGCCAGGCATTTTGCTTAGACCTGAGCATCTAGAACTGACAGACTGTATGCTTATGAAGCATAGTCTTTCAGGAGAGACCATTAATCAATGGCAAGTAAATACATGATTACAAACTACATAAGCACACTAAAGATGTTAGAGTGCTGTGAGGCGCTATAAAAAGGAAGAGCTAATGTAGTCTGAAGGAAATGGTGCTATAGCTGAAATAGAAGGACAGAGGTGAACTTAGAGGAGGTGTTACAGGCAGAGAGAAGAGTATGCGTAAGACCTTTGTGACAGAAACAAAGGGGACATGGAGAGATGAGTTAGGAGATGATTGTGAAGATAAAAACCACGAGATTGTCTTGGAAGGATGATGAAAGTAGGATTTGAAGATGCTAGAGGGGTAGCTCAGTGGTAGATCACTTCTCTAGCATGTATAAGGCTCTGAGTTTGACCCCTAGCACCACAAAAAAGAGCAGAGTTTTAGGGTTGCATGTCACTGTCCTTTTGATGGTTCTTCCATTCTTTTGATGGTGCTTCTTTGGGCTAGTAATATAATACATATCTATAATGGTTCCATTTGATTAATCACGTGGAGTATAATATGGTAAGGCTCTCTGAATTTTAATTGGCCTTCAAAAGTGGTAAAGCATTTCCATATTCTCACATGACTAGACTATAGTAAACCAGTAACTTCAGGGTCTAGTCTGTGTAAAAAGCAGTTCACACAGTATCAATCATTTGGGTACCTGCAGAAGGTGCTAGTGCTATTATAAAATTTGCCATATTTTGTTTAATTTTAAAGGCACAAATATTTTTCAGCAGAGTTCTGTCAAGTTTTCAAGGAACAGATAATTCCAGTATAAAGTATTTGAAGAGGTATAGCACATAGATATAGAAGAAAATCTTGACTTATTCTAGAAAGCATGCATACCTGTGATATCAAACCTGACAAAGATAAAAGAAGAAACTCTAGGCTAGTCTGACTTTTATAAATACATATACAAACATCTAAATAAAATACTGGCCAATCAAATCCAGCTCTTTAATCCAAGAATTTAAAGATCTTCAAAATTAGGAAATATGTTAGCGTCTATTAAAGTTAATAAAAGAAAAACCTTCCCCATGAATGGTAAAGCAACATTTTATAATATTCACCATCAATATCTGAATCTTAAAGTACCATAACAAGAGTGCTCTTGGTAAACTAGGAATTTTTTTTTCCAGTAACAGAGATTGAACCCAGGGAGTGTTGTGAAACATTCTCGGCCCTTTTAAAAAACTTTTTCTTTATTTAGAAACAGAGCCTCACTAAATTGCTCAGGCAAGGCTTCAACTTGTGATCCTCCTGCTTCAGCCTCTGGAGTATTTAGGATTACAGGCATATGCCACCATCATACCTGGCAAGCTAGGAAACGTAGTGGGTATTTAACAGAAAACAGAAATAGTTTATTAAATATTGAATTAAAGGAGCGTTGGTTCTTACCCAGGAGTGAGCCCTAGAATCCCCTGGGGTAATTGGCTCTGAAAAGTCCATGCTTGGGCCCCACCCGTAGAGATTTAAATTAGGTAGGTCTGGGTTGAGCCTCCAGTAATTGTTGTGTTCATCTCTAACCTAACCAAGCCATTAGCTTAAATACACTTTCATTCAGATGAAGAACACCCAGCTACTAACATGATTTCTAGTGTTCTTTTGGAAGGTTAAGCTGATGAAATAGGAAAAAAGAGGGATGGGCTGTGGGTGTAGCTCAGTGGTAGAGAACTCAACTAACACTCAGGAAGCCCTGGGTTCCATTCCCATCAATAAAAAAGAAAGAAAGAAAATGAACATTATTGTTAGTGGTGTCATTACTAAGAAAATTCAAAGGAATCAAATCTGAACTGAAACTAATAAGCACTAGATTATGTAGTGATGTGATGTGCCTTTTTTTTTTTTTTTTTTGTATGGGGTGACTTTTAAAAATAACTGGTTAGGGGCCGGGGATTTAGCTCAGTGGTTCCGGCACCTCCCTCGCAAGCACAAGGTCCTGAATTTAATCCCTGATACGAAAAATAAATAAATAAATAAATAAAATAACTGGTTACTAGCCAGGTGTGGTGGCACGGGCCTGTAGTGCCAGCACTTGGGAGGCTGAGGCAGGAGGATCACCATGAGTTCAAAGCCAGCCTGAGCTATATAGTGAGACCCTGTCTCAAAAAAAAAAAACAAAATAAACAAATAATAAAAATAAAGATAACTTGTTAGAAAATATAAAGGAAAAATGGTCATCATCTCCTCTCCCTGCCTGTACATGTGTACACACACACACACACACACACACACACACACACACACATACATATATATACAGTGAACCTTTAACTTCTTTTATTTTTTTGGTAGTGGGGATTGAACTCAGGTCCTTGTGCTTGTGAGGCAGGCGGCATAACTTCTTTTAAAAAATGTATTTTACAAGACACAGATGAATGGTGAAATACATTATGTTCCTTAATAGAATGATTCAGCCCTGAAGTATACCTCTTCTCACCAAATTAATCTATGAATTCAATATAATTTTAATCAGATCCACAATTTTTGACAATTTTATCTAGAAGAGCAAACATGGTATAATTTTCTGCTTATAATGATTATGTGTTCCTTGTATAATGGGAAAAATAGCTTATGCAAGACAGTTGTTCCTTACATAAAGACATGCAGAGGAAGAGTCGAGATGTGGGACAGTTTGGCAGTGTGGTCAGACACCAGGCGACCCACCATCACTCTACTCTTTCTTGGGATGCCCTTCCACATATGTGTGTATGTGTTTGTGCCCATAAGAAGAGCTCTACAAACACACCCAACCGACTCAGAGTTATTACCTGTTTGTAGTTGTGTAAGGATGCAAGAGAAGCAGCAGTTTTCATGCTCCCCATTAGATAGTTTGGTGGTGTGTGAATATTTTCATGCAGTGCCTTGTTAGACATTATTTGAAAATAGGTCCAAGCCAGGCATGGTGGCACACACCTGTAATCCCAGCACTTGGGAGGCTGAGGCAGGAGGATCCCTGTGAGTTTGAGACCAGCCTGGACTACATAGTGAGTTCTAGGTCAGTCTCAAATATATAGTGAGACCCTGTCTCATTTTTTAAAAAAAAAAAAAAAAGTAAGTCCATTTTAAACATCTACAGTCTGATTATGTGAAGAAATAATGCATTAAGTTTTATCTTTATTTAGATATTATAGTTCTCTCTCTTCATTTTGGAAAAACTGGAAATTTACATAAGATTCAAAAGTTAGCCAGATGGGGCCAAGGATGTATCTCAGCAGCACTGCATCTGCCTGGCAAGCACAAGGTCCTGAGTTTGATCCCTGGTACTAAAAACAAACAAACAAAAAAACAAAGAAACTTCTATCCATGAACTTGTGACGGAAAAAACAATGTTAGCCAGGCATGGTGGTGCATGCCTGTAATCCCAGCACTTTTGAGGCTGAGGCAGGAGGATTAAGAGTTCAAGGCCAGCCTAAGCTACATAGTGATACCCTGTCTCAAAGCAATCCAACAAAAAGTTAGTGTTAACTTTAATTCTACCACCCAGAGAGTGGTTTTAAATCATTTGGGATATTTCTTCTATACATTTGTATATATTTGTGCTTGTGAGGCAGGTGGTGATTGATTGTTTGATTGATTGATTGATTGATTGATTTTTGAGACAGGATCTCACTCTATAGCCCAGGCTGCACTTGAACTTGTGGTGATCCTCCTGCATCAGCCTCCTGAATGCTGGAATTACAGGCGTGCACCACCATGCCTGGCAGAATTTTCTTAGATATATTGTTTCATATTCTGTTTTCTTATTTTAGACCTTTATGTTGATTTTACTTTTTAAGTGTTAAAAAATATTTCAGTGACAATCTCTAAATAAAAATATTTGTACTAGGATCTATGATGATTTGAATTGCTCTTTTTTATTTTATTTATTTGTTTGTTTATTTATCTATTTTTTGGTACCGGGGATTGAACTCGGGTCCTTGCACTTGCAAGGCAGGCCACCGAACCGCTGAGCTAAATCCCCGGCCCCCGAATTGCTTTTTTTATTTTCTACATCACAATGTCTTTCTTAAACCGGGTGTGGTTGTGCACACCATAATTGCAGCACTCAGGAGGCTGAAGTAGGAGGATCTTGAGTTTGAAGCCACCCTGGGGTACATAGTAAGTTTGAGGTCAACTTGGGCAACATAGTGAGACCCTGTCTCTAAAATATAAAATAATAAAAATATATTTCTTAAATCTGCTTGTAATGTGGCTTGCAGATAGGGACCATTGAATTCAAACGAGGGTCTGTGTGCAGATAATTTGGCAAGAAAGGAACCAACAAATAGAAAATATAAGGAGGGATATTTCTGAATGAAGTGGCTTCCCTGTGTTCTACATATGACTTTCCTTCCTTTGCAGCGCTTTCTAGATCTTGACTTAATCATATTTAAAAGGGAAGACAAGAGTATATAATAAACTTTATTTTTGTTTACCCTTTTTGTCTTGAGTTTTTAAATTATTTAATATAAATTTCTAAAATGTCAGTCTCCCACCATAAAATATGAGTTCTGTCACAGGGATCTTGTTTGCTCAGTTAACACCTATGACCTTAGGGCCTAGACACATGAAGGGCATATAAAGGACTATGGGAAATATTTCACAAATGAAAATTCCATAAAAAGATTAAAATTTGTTCTAACACCAAAGGACATGTCCTTTTAGATAAAACGTTTTATTAAAAAGATTTCCAAATATATACAAAAATAGAATGGCATAGTAATTTTCCCTATCATGATTTACCTAATTAATGCCAGTTATTTCATGTACCATGTTTTTACTCCAAAAGTATATTAAAGCAAAATCTCTTGTCATTTTTCCCTGTGTACTTCCATATGCATCTCTTAGAAGCATAGATATTTCTTTAATGGGTGTCCTGGCACACACCTGTAATGCTAGCACTCTGGGAGCCTAAGGCAGGAGGATCATAAGTTCAAGCCCAGCCTGGGCAATTTAGCAATTTAGCATGACTCTGTCTCAAAATAAAAAAATAATTTTTAAAAGGGCCAGGGTTGTAGCTCAGTGGAAAGGCCCAGGGTTCAGTCCCTAATACCCCCCCATAGGAATTTCTTACATCATCACTATCCCATTATCCCATGTTATAATGTGAACAGTTATTTAACATCATCTCATACCACGTTCATTTCTACATTTCCTCAGTTGTCTTGAAAATGCCTTTTTAGACTTGATATATTCAAATCTGAGTATTTATGAGATCCCTCCACTGTATTTGCCATTTCTGAAATCTGTCTTAAAATGGAACTATCCCCACCCCACCCCTGTCTTTTTCCTCTTTCTTTTTGGTAACCGCGGATTGAACTCAGGACCTTGCACTTGCAAGGCAGGCGGTGGCACCACTGAGCTAAATCCCCAGCATTTCCTCTTTCTTGAAGCACCCCAATAAATTGTTCTGTAAGTCTCATATTCTAGCCTTGTCAGTTTGCTATTTCATGATGCCATTTAACTTGTATCTCTTTTTTTTTTCCTCATTGAGTTTATTGGTACATTTTAGGTATACAGTACATTTACATTCACTATTGGGATCTTGTACCTTTACATGACAGGTCTTGGTTCTCATTTTTTCCTCTTGTCCCTGCTAACTAGTATCTTTAACCTTCTCATATTTTATATAAACTGCTTCAGAAGTTTGATTTGATTCAGGCTATATTTTTGAGGTACTTCATAGGTAACACTGTATAGGAATCTTTTCATATTTAAAATTAGTAGTTTTTTTTGTTTTTGTTTTTTTTTTTGTATGGAAGATTGAACTCAGGTCCTTGCGCTTGCAAGGCAGGCCACCAAACCGCTGAGCTAAATCCCCAGCCCAGGAGTTTTTTTTTAAAGATAGTTCCCAATGTGCAACATTTTAAAAGTACAAATTCTTCATAGCTCTTTGAAAGCTAATAAAACTGTATAAGTCCTTAAAATAGTGAGCAAAACTAGATTGAAGTCGGTTGTCATTGTTGAACCCCCAATCTTATTTTGGCCTTTTATCGTACTCAAATGTTACACTTAGTTTACCTGCATATTTGTGACTTGTGAATTCCTGTATAGTCTTTTATTCACTACTGACCACAAGAGGGCAGACAGTGAACATTTTCTAAGGGTTGTTCCATCATCCTGTGTGTAATTGACCTAACATGAGTTCAAATCAGCCCACTTTTTGATTAGCCCAAAATACCTACATTACTATTTTTATTAAAAACTTAATGAATTTCAAGAATGCAGCATATATACCCAAATAAAAGGTTGTTGGAGAAGCATGTTGTCAAAGAATCACTCTGGGAATTGCTTTCCAGTTTTAAAGGAGAAAAAGACTCCCTTTTCAGTGGCAAAATCTGGCCATCACCACCACCTTAACCAATTAATCAAGCATAGGCTCACTAATAATGGCCCAGTTTGAAATTACATGCAAGTTGAACCTAAAGTTAACCAAGCCCTTAAACCTTATTTCCAGGTTATATGAAATATGGAGGGAGAAACAACAGTACTAGAAAATCCACAATGTGGTACAATTGTCAGCTATCTGGACCGATCCCATCCAAAAAAGTCAGTGTCAGGAGACAAATGGAAGTTGGAGGGACCAGTCTACCGTTCGGTTGTTCATTCATTCCTTTGGCAGTACCAGGGATCAACTTCGGACCTTGCATTTGCCAGGCAGGCACAGCACCACTGAGCTACATCCCCGGTTCCGGGACCATTCTAGATTGAGAGACAGAGCTGAATACAATTTGGGGAGATATGGGTGCTTTGTGAAGGAATATATTGTAGACAAGGCCAGAACACTAATTATGAAAGGGCATTTGAAGAAGTTGAGTAAAACTGTTTCACAGAATGTGAACAGCAAGTAGCAGTATAGATAGAATATATTTCTTGAAATGTGACTGTAAATTATGTATATAAAGAGAATTTATAGAATGTTATTTACCTATACACCAATAGTTGGTATTTTAAGTTGGCTAAAACCCTGGCTTTAATCTTGTTGGGCAAAATGAGGAATTGCTTTTATGATAACTGCTATCCTTAACTACAGATTTTATTCTAGATGAACTTCAGTTATCTCAGTAACAGTATGCTTTCCTATCTTTTAGATAGAAACGGACCTGTTATTAGTTGTGGGTGTTTTTAAGTGTGAATGAGGAAACCCATATTTTATATGGGCACCAGCCTCGTCTGCTAATGATAACATAGGTGTATTCTCATCAACAATATTTTTCATTATTATAGACTATATTGTAAAAACCATAGTGGAAATGATGAGAGAGATGAAGAAGATGAGGAACGAGAGAGTAAAAGCCGAGGAAAAGTAGAACTTGATCAGCAACAAACTCAGCAACAACTTAACGGAAACTAGGTATGAATGTTAATTATATGGGATCTGTTGTCAAGATATAATACCCACTGATAAATACATAATGCAGTAATGGTATGCAGTTAAGATTTTTAAAATCCTAATGTGTTTAGTTAAGAGCATGTTACCGGAATGCTGAGGATTATATAGGCTTGTGTAATTTTGTTACTTGTTTTTGTTTTAACTAGCCAGCTTTGTAACCGTAAAAACAAGCTATCTACTTTATCAATAAATGTAGTTACAATGTCGAATCAAGAAGATATTCTCACTCCTCAATAACATTATGTTGCTTGTGTTCCCCTCAAGCATCATATTTTACATTTTCTTATCATCTTTTAAACAGGTTCATGGGACAGAGTTAGAAAACTGAGAGTGAATAAGACATCCATAACTACTATTCTTTTTTCACTGTTTTCTAAAAGGGTTTGTAACTTTTTACTGCCCAACTCTTAGATCCTTCATTGAACTGTCTAAAAACATCTTGTTTGTTTTATGAGTCTTCTCTAGATGCTGAGTTTGACATGTTGCTATTATGTAGCTGTAGTTTGCAGTTTCTGGGAAGCAGTTGAAACACTATTAACCCTGTGTATAGTGTCAACAGTTAAAGCAGACATTGAAATGAAGTAAGCTATATTTCTGGACTGAACAAAGTTCTACTGTTTAGAGTATTTAAGTTTGTTTAGTGGATCATGCTCAAGGGAAACATAAGCAAATTTTACTTTACAATGCAAACATGCCGCTGGTAGTAACACATGGTAATTTGTGAATTTTTTTCACACTCAAGTAATGGAGGCTAGAAATGAAGAGAACCTTCTTTTTAATCTTAGCTTTGAAAGCACATGCTAAAAGTCTCTTCCAAGAAGTGTGCTGAAGCTTTTCATTTGGTTCCTGTCAGAGTTGTTCTCACTGACCAGCGTGGACGTGGGCGATTATGAGCTGTGAGCTACAGTGCTTATGCCAAAATTTTCATGACAATACACTGCTTCTCTTTCCATGTCATACAAAGAGCTTCTGGCAAAATGTTCGAATCCTTTCAGGTTTAAAGCAACATTTGGCAACTGTAAATTAAACCTCTTTCAAATTTAAGGGGTTACTACCTGCTAAGAACTTTAGATACCACATCTGAAACCTGTTCCTCTCAAGTGCCCTGTTGCTTGGAACACTTAACATATTGGCCCAAAGTATGTAAGGAAGTCTTGTGTGCTGTAGAAGTAAAAAACAGTCTTTGCATAAAACAGTATTTATTTTTAATTTTGTGACCACTATTTTAGAAACTTATTTAATACTTTTAATGTTTTCCGTCATTGTTTGGTTATCTATTAAATAGGCTTTTGTGCCTGCTTTTTTCCTTGTAGGGCTTGGCATTGTTTTAATGATCATCAGAATTGTTTCTGAAAGCCTAAGAACCCAGCTATTTAGAAAGGATTTTTCACACTGGCATTTCTAGCTAGTGATGTTTTCTTCCACTTACTGCTGAAGCACATTTATGTATTTCTTTATGGCAAAACCAAAAAGCTTTAGTTGTGGTCTACCTAATATTACCATAGCACCTCAGTACTAAGGGTAGGGATTCTGATTTCTGAACTATTACTTAGCCTACCACAGTAAAGCAAAGTTGCAAATAAAAAAATCATATTAACTTGACTGTATATTGAGATTCTGCAGCTGGTAGAACAGCATTTTTAAATGTAACAGGTGGGAAATTACACTGTGTTTAGTGACTGAAGTTTTTAACTACTAGTCCCTTAAAAACACGTTTGTCAAGTGTGTATATTCACACATTTACTTAAATCAAGGGACTAAATGCTTGCTTTATTTTAACCATCTTTATTGTTATTTTTAGAAGGAAACTGGCTTTCGTAGTGGATTGCCTTCTGTGTTTTCTCTTTTTGCTTTTAATATACCATCATGTGTATGTGATTAATTAATTTTCAAAATTCATGACTTGAAGTGCAAGACAGATCTAAATGTTTGTTTACCAAGCTATGTGACTTTTCCCAAAGGATCTGTACTTTATTTCTTTACAACAGTTTAAAAAACATTATTTCTTAAATCTTTAAATCACTGTGTCTAGGTCATTTTTACATTGCGTGCCATAGAACTTACCCATGGAGAAACAACTCCTTCGTTTTTGGACAACTACTGTAATGAATTTTTTTTAGGAAAAATGGAAGGTGTCAGGGGTAATCATGGCCAGTCAATAATTATATAATGGACTTCAAATACTACAGCTGTCAGTTGATGGATTTGTTATGTACTAAAATATATGATTTTGTATGGGTTTCTTCAGCTCTTTCCCTGCCACTAGCAACCAGAATAGCACTTTACCTTTTGGTTGGCTAGATAAGTGGCTGACTACCTGTTTTTTTCACTGTGGTGTGATTGGCTGAATAATCTTTCATTAATTGAAATATAAATTAAAGTCACATGAAAAATCACCTTTGGTTGTAAACCTACAATATTTTGATTGTCCATGTTTTCATCACATGCTGAGTAAAAGTGCCTTACAATGTAAAAATTGTACAGTACTTATGTTCCCAAGTAGCATCATCATCTTCTGGGTAGTAATTACATTGTGGTATTAATATTTAGAGAAATGGACCTCAGCAGTGTATTTACTGTACATCTCTTTAAGTCCTTAACTGTAGTTTTAATAAGCATGACATTATTTGATAAGTATATGACATTTACATCATTTCCAAAAAATACTGCCATTACTGTCTTTTATGCATATTTTAGCCTAAAATTTTGAAGCGTCTTTTCTTTCCTTTATCTTTTTTGTTTTGTTTTTTTGTTGTTATTGATATTAAACAGTGTAATCTTTGCAAGCATATATTGAAGATTATTCTGGAGCATTTATTGCCTTACCAGAAATGTTAGTAAGAAATGTTCTTTAGAGTAGAAAGATAGACTTGAGTTTCTATACTTTAATAAGAGCTCCTTGTTCCTGGGGGGAGGGGGGATTTTTACATTCATCTCAATTTATTAAAAACCCAGAACTGAAATGAATTTTATTTCAAGGATCAGCAATTTTAGAATTTCAGATAGTACTTGCTCAGAAGTACATGCTACTCAAGATATTAAGAGAATAGCAAGATTTGTCGATCTGCTAATGAATCAGAATCTATGTACTTGAAAAAAATGTGTGAATCTCAAATATCTCAAAGCAAATGAAAAAGTGTTCAAGAGTGTTGTTGCTTTTTTAAAAAGCACTGAGGTTAGACCAAGGTGTAGTTTGTTTTAACAGACATTTAGATTAATTGTAAAAATAAGGAATGCATCATGGGTCAAAAATCAAACATTCCTCTCATGTTATGTATATTTTGTTCTTGTTATATTGGCTTTATTTTCAAAATTGTAGTTTGTAGTATTAGTTTCCTTTTATTGGTATCCTTGCATATACTATTCATTCAATAAATGAGTTATGACTTTCATATTTGTATGCCTTTTTTGTGAAAGTGTATAATGAAGTTTATTTGAATATAGCAACAGTATCATATTCCTTTTAGTCTTGCTTTATTTCAAGATGAAATGCCTAGTTTACTTAAGAATTTATGGAAATAAAAAACAAGTATGGGAAAGAAAAAAGTGAGTTTGTATTCAGTTCAAAGTTCCATAATATTAAACTTTTTATTATAACAATAAATGGCAGTCTTTTATGTACAGACTTAGAATTGCATTACATCTGGGGTTTTTTAGCACATGGTTCAGATACCTACAGCTTAAATCAGGTCTTCAGGAACCTAGTTAGAAAGTGATTTTGAAAATTAACACACCAAAACTCCTTGTGCAGTTTACCTGATAGATACCAGGGTTGAAAGGGATTCCATTTCATACACTTGATATTTATTCCCATTACCATGGACAGCTTGATGCTAGTACAGTGTTCCCCTACTGAAGTTTATCATATCCAGGGCAAAAATCAAAATTTTAATTAGTGAACTGGGCATGGTGATGCACGCCAATAATCCCAACACTCTGGGAAGCTGAGGCAAGAGGGGGCTGCAAGTTCAAACTCAGCCCAGACTACTTAGTGATAAAGTGGGGTCCTGTCTAAGAATAAAAATATAAAAATAAGAACAGGGGATGGAACACAGTACAAAGGCCCTGAGGCCAAGTCCTAGTACCACAGAAAAAGCTTTAATTAGTGGAGTACATTCATTTTATACACAGTTCCTAATCCATATTCTTCCTCAGAGGGGAAGAGAATGTTAAGGAACAGGTTCTCATCCCTGTGGGAACATAGGATGATGTGCTTTTACCACAAACTCTACCGAGTAGTGCCTATTACATGCGGGCATGTATGTATTTAAAATCCATTGCTAAGTTTCATTGGAGTTGCCCCAATCAAATATGGAGATGACAAACTAATGTGGTTTTCTTTCTAATCAAAACGATGGCACTTGAATACTGGGCATGGTGGCACATGCCTGTAATCTCAGCACTTGCGAGGCTGAGGCAGGAGGATCGCAAGTTCAAGTCCAGCCTGTGCCTATATAGTAGGCTCAAGGCTGACCTAAATTACAGTGCAAGACTTTGTCTCAACAAAATGCCCCCCCGAAAAGAAAGACCATGACAGTTGGTTTATTGTTTTTCCAGTTGCAGTCCCTAGCAATTACTGAGGTTATTACAAAGGACAAACCTGAAAAACTTTCCTAGAAAAATTCAGTGGCCAGAAAATGGCCAATCCATCTTTTTTAAGAAAAAGTAAACCATTCTTACATTCGTGTTTTAGAGTCTTCAATTGAAGACAAAGGCAAAGTACTCTCTTTTTATATCAACTAATGTTATTTAACTTTGCCTTGTTCAGATAATAAGGTAACTGGATATTAAGGATATATGGCCAAAATGTGTTCTTCTGGTTATTTTCTTTTTGTTTTTTTAGCACTGGTGATTGAACCCAGGGAGTACTCAACTTCATCTTCAGCCTTTCTTTTTTCCTTAGGTTCTTGGTAAGTTGCCTAGGCAGGCCTTGAACTCATGATCCTCCTGCCTTTGCCTCTAGAGTGCCTGGAGTTTATAGGCATATGCCACCATGCATGGTTCACGAAAATACATTATTGATATTTATTCAGAAAATAAAAACTCGGAAGTACCAGACAGTTCCTGTGAAGTTGCTTATGGCATTTGAAAATTTTACTTTAGGAAGCCAGGGATTTTGCTCAGTGGTTCCACTGCCTGCCTCACAAGTGCAAGGTCCTGAGTTCAATCCCCAGTACCAAAAAGAAAAAAAAATGAAATAAAAGAAAAAATTTAAGGGAAAGGTAATAGAAAAGGAAAAAAACATGAGCAAATGAAAAAAATGGAAATAAAGTATTTGTAAATAGAAAAGGGAGGAGGGGGTGAAGGGAGGACAGGGGTAAGGGGAAAAAATGAGAACCAAGACCTGTCACGTAAAGGTACAAGATCCCAATAATGAATGTAACTGTACTGTATACCTAGAATGTACCAATAAACTCAATGAGAAAAAAAAAGAAAATTTTTACTTTAGGAGACATGTTCTTCATATGCTTAGTGTACTAAAGTCAATACCCCAGCCCTAGTTCCTTGTCAAAAGACAACAGATCCACAAAATTTCCAAATTATGACTGCCTATATCTCTGTGTTGATGTGTTTAGTATAATGGTGTAGGGGGACAGGGAAAATAAAAGGCAGCTGAACAAAGAGCTAACTAGGTCTACTGTTATGATTTATATTTTACTAAAAAGACACATGAAAACAAGAATACTGTTGGAGAGGGTAGCCTTTTCAGTGATCCTCAGAGACTAGATATTTAAGAGAGTATTAGGAGTGGTGAGACAAAAATAAACTATCCCATAATATGGACACTGGATTTAGATCTTTGAGTTTCTGTGAAGTATTTATACAGAAGGTAATGTATATTTCTGGGTATTTTTACAATCAGAACTATTTATAGATTTCTTATTTGTACAAGTAATATATAGCCATGAAAAGATTGAATAACTGATACAATGTAGATGAACCTGGAAAACATTTCATGAAGGCAGATATAAAAGGTCACATATGAGAGGATTCCATTTTTATTAAATTTCCAGAGACAAATGCAGAGGGACAGAAGGCAGATTTCTGGTTGACAGTGGCTGGAGAGACAGGAAAATAAGGAGTGACTGTTAACAGGCTTAGGGTTTCTTTTTAGGGTGATAAATCATCTGGAATTAGTGATTGAAAACTGCACAACTTTGTGAATGTAATAAAAACCAAAAATCATACATGTACAAAGGTTGAGTTTTGTTGTATTAATTTTGGAAAACTAATACAGTGTATGTGGTCATTGTAAAAAATTAAAATATACAAAGATAGAAAACAAAGTGTTTCAATACCCTCTTTCTTCACAAGCATGCTCCCCAGAAATATTGGATATGTGTCCTATTACATGTTCCTGTAGATATATAACTTATATAGTTTTCTTTGTTAGGATAATGCTATTAATGAAATGCTACTGAGTTCTGTACTATATGTTTCACTTGAACATATTGCAAGGTGTCAGTACATCTAGATTTTTCACATGCTTTTTAGCAGCTCTGTAACATTGCAATGTATGGATACTAGGATTGTTTTATCTAGCCTCACATACAGTATCCTCACATTCTTACACAAGTAATTTCTTAGGCTCAATTTCCAAAAGTGGAACAACTTAAGTCAAAGGTGTGTACAGTTAAAGTTTTGATAATTGCCACCCAAAAGTTGTGTACCAGTCAAATGGTCTATCAATAGAGATTAAGCTTGCCTGCTTCTCCACTTCAGAACAGTGCTTTGTAGTGAAAAGAGGTATGTGTGGTAACTTTTTTAATATAAATGCTATGGTGTTTTTTGTGGTGAAGCCCATATAGGTTATATCTCTAACATGTGGGTTATCTTTGGGAAAATAGGCAATATTCAGTTGTAAAATGATGCAATCAAAATGTTTTGTTTCATGTGTATTAATTGTAATAATTGATCAATCATTTCCCTTTCTTTTTTGAAAAGTAACAGACTGTGTATCACTGTCTACTGTTATCAGGTTAACCTGCTTCTCTGTATCCAGGATCATATGTGGCTCAATTCAGTACATGTGAAGGGATCATGAACTGTTTTGCTGGACTCCTGGGACTTTTATTCTATGACTATGTCTAACAACTGGTCAATTTTGTGAAACAGGAAAAAGTCATTTGAGTGTTTTTCTTTTAAACTACTTGTTTTGGCTTTTTATGAATAAAATCAAAGACTAACAGGGAAGATTGACTTTGCTTTTGGCTTATTTGCTAGAAAATGACCTTTTTTTTCTATTTAGTGATTTAAGCCAACAGTTTCCTGTGTGTTTGAAAAAAAAATTACTAAAAATAACTTGGATATTCAATTATGCTGGTCAGTCAGCATGGACATTTCTAAATAAATAATAAATTGTAACGCCTGGGATTTAGCTCAGTGGTTCCACTGCCTGCCTTGCAAGCGCAAGGTCCTGAGATTGATCCCTGGTACCCCCCCCCCAAAAAAAGAATAAATTATAGTCAAGGATGATTCGTGGTATATGAAAATTGGATTTTTCTAATTCTCAAAAAATTTTGTGCTATTTAGGTTTTACAACATTAATTAAACTTTTACTGAAAAAGTTTAAGATAGAGATATAACATTATAAAATAATTTTTATACTGTTTTACTAATAATCTAACCTTTGATCATTCTTCACTCATTCTTCATAGGTTTGTTAAATAATGAGGTCTTTAAGGGGGCAACAAAATAGGGGGACATTAGAGAGCTCTTTTTGTATTTTCGAACTGAAGCAGTCATGAGAACTGCTGTTATTTTCATTTCAAAGTGTAACTGGACAATTTAGTATATGTGCTACCGAACCAAGCACAACTGGGCAATTTAACACAAAGGCTTATTTTCTAGTGTTCCTGATCCTTAAGGCCAATAGGCTTATGTGCTATATTTAGTGTTGATTTAGTATGACCAGGAAGCAATAAGTCCTTGGACCCTGGTCTCAGATATTCTTGCTTACAGAGCAAACAAAAAAAGTTTCTGAAAGTTTACAGGTCAGAGAGCTAGAATTTTGGCATTGTCCTAAAATACAGCATTCTTTTTTTTTATACCAGGGACTGAACTTGGGACCTGTGCTAGTGAGGCAGGCAGTGGAACCACTGAGCTAAATCTCTGGCCCTATAGTATTCTTTCTTGGCATACCTTAGAAGTATTGTTTTTGGCATGTCACTCTTTCCCATATTCCCCAGTGGCTCAGGGCAGCTAACCAGTGTGCTGTGAATGCAGGAATAGAGCATTACAGAAAACATGTTGCTCAGGCAGAAGCCTTGACAGATTTTATTTCTCCCTTGGGAAGAGGCAAGGAGCAAGAGGGAGGCAGT